CCAGCCATGAAAGGAGAGAATTAATAATGAGGCTGGGCAACTAGTAATGTGGCTTTTATGGAAGGAAGCCATAGTTGAAATCATCCAAGTTAATGTTTGACAGGTGAAAGAAGCTAATTTGGTCAGATGAAGCCAAAACTGGACTTACTGGCCAAAATGTTAAGCCTTGTATGCTGGGACATCCCTTTGAACACACATTCTCAATGGAGAAGCATGGTGGTGGCAGCGTCTTTCTGTGGGCATGCCGTTTTTAGCACAGGTAAGGAAAGGTCATTTTATTGATACAGCAGCATATAGCATAGGGTGGAATTTGGATGGCGCTAAAACTAAATCTTGTGGGGGGAAAAAAATTCCCCCACAAGATTTTTACTAAAAATGAGTAAAAAAATTTTTTAATAACTTTACTAAAAAAAATGTTAAATTATGTACCTTACTAAATGTACATTTTCTAAATTTACATTTTAGTAAATGCAAATTTACTAAATATAAATTTTTGTAAATTTACATTTACTAAAATGTAAATTTCCCCCCTTGGGGGTCTAATATAGATATTCTTCATTCTTGGAACTGATGTCCACATATAATCTCCATCCAATCTGATTAAATTTCAGTTATTTAGTTGAGGAGAAATGGAAAAAAACTAGCATTTGGATGACACGACTCAGAAAATGTGCAATATAGATTAATGGGGGGATGAGGGATAAATAAAAACATCCCACAACTCAGACTTCTAATTATAAAAATATTATTCCTTCCTTCCACCTGACAAAGCAGTATTTTGTGTGGTAAAACTTTCATAAAATGTGTCAAATGAAAAAGTTAGAGGTTATGGATACTTTTGTGAGGCACTGTATGTCTTATTTTAGAATAATGTTTTAACTTTTCTGGCTAAAATTTTACTAATTTCAAGTGAGATAAATTGGAAGAGTTTCTTTTTTTTTTCCTTTACATTTCTCTACTCAAGCTGGCTTTGATTTCCAGCTGATAAATAACATGAGGGTTAAATTATTATTTTAATTGCACATTTTCTTTATGGGACTTCAGAGGCTGCTTTTGTTGAACAAATGAATGCGTCAGGATTTTAAGTGTCCGACCCGAATCCCAACTAGTTCAGTCAGGAGTTCTGGTAAAGTGCAGCAAACATACCAGCCGTTTTAAAGAAAACAAAAATAGATTTCTTCACACAGCTTGTGACAAATCTGCGATTTCCAACCGCCACGTATCTAAATGGCAGTCGGCGTTGTGCTCTCGTCCTGGATACAATCGGCAGCTCGCACCACTATCAGCATCCAAACAAAGAAATCAAAGGCTGTTTGTTAAGAAGACAAACAAAAGACTTCCAAAGAATAAGGCGGCCAAAAAAAAAAAAAAAAAAAAAAAAAAAAAAAAAAAAAAAGACAAATTTCCCCTCCACACATTA